CATGCTGGATCAGGCAGTTCAGCTACGGCCGCGTTTAGCAGCTGAGTGAGCCTCTGATCAGAAGTAGGAGCTCATATTTTCATGAAAGAGTCCTGCAGCTGTCCTCAAAATCTGTTAAAGCAAAGGTTTCCATTATGATTTCTGTGGGCCTTCGGAGAATCATGGAGTGTTCAGCTTTTGTGCATCAGCTGCCTGCTTGTTTGTCCCTGCTGTCACCAAGCCTTCAGAGAGCGCCAGGGCAGTGAGCTCACAGCCCAGCTCCTGCTGACACCTGGCCACCTCTCAGCAGCACTTTTCCTCTTCTTTCCTCTTTGCCTGTGAGCTCACCAGAATGGCTGTTCCAGACCATTCTGTCTCCTCCAGCCCCCAGTCCCGTCCCCTTAGCAGTTAGGAGAGTTGTCTACTGCATCACTGCGATGACTGAAGACAGTGCACCCTGGGCTCCATCTCTGCGCATCAGTCTCCAAACCCACCCTCTCACCCTTCCCTTGATTCTTCAAGTCGTGTCCTGCGCCACAAGTAACCTATTGTCCTGTGTCCCAGCTCCGCAGGCGTATCTCCCGCTTCTCCAGCACTTTCGTCTTTGGCCTCTCCTTTCCCAACGGTTCCTTCTTGATCCCACGTGGGCAGGGCCTCCCACTTCAGAATAGTCTTTACTTGACCTCAACACCTCTCCTGCTCCCTTCTGTGTCCGCCCCTCACCACACTCGAAATCACGGGTCCTGTTGCTGCTGTCCTTTCCATCTACTTCTTCCCTAAACCGAAATCACCTTCTGCCTCCTTCCTTCTCTTGGAATTGCCCTCCTTTCTATTTCTGCTTCCAGCGGCCTTTACCCCGCACTGCCTGTCATGCTGTCTGCCACCTCCTCCTCCTGCCACCTCTCTCCCCCTGGCCTCCTGCTTCCTGGACTGTTCCTCCTTCCTACACTGATCCTTCTTGCCTGTTCGAGGCTCAGGCCTCAGCATCTTTCCTGTCCCACTGCACACTCCCCTGAAGACCCCTCTCTGTGGTCTCGGCTTCACTCCCTGCCTTTATTCCAGAGACTCCCAGGTCTCATTTCTGGATCTGCCTCCTCACCTCAAGTGCAGCTGCCATATGGACCCCTCCTGGTGGATTTCTCACATTTGTGCTAAACACAGTCCATGTAAATCACACCTCATCATCTCCCCGTGCTGCTCCCCTCTCCCTCCTGATCCTACTGGGATCTTTCTGCCAGTCACAGGGACTCAAAAGCCAGTTTTGGCTCATTTCTTCTTTTTGACCCTCATGTAAGGCTTCAGTGGAAAGTTTTCTTTTTCCATTCTTCCTCTCCTTGTAACCCAGAAACTGCCGATGGCTCTGTAATTGTTGGGAGTCTCCCTCTTGGCCTCATCTCTCAGCTCCCCCTTGAGGAACCCAATGGCTAGGCCACACTGGGATGGTCACCAACCCTTGTCTACACTCGTCTTTCCCTTTTCTGTCCCCTTTATTGCCCTCACTGCCAGTGTTACCTCACCAAAGACATTCTCCGTCCCAGATCCTTTGTAGCCTACGTCTTCTCATCTGTAAAATGGGTATAATAATATCCACTTCATACATGTAAATGTGATTTCCGTAAACACTCTGACACAGAGAAGGCTCTCAGTAAGAGTTGGCTGTAATTACTGTTTAGATATGAGAAAACTGGAGCAGAAAGAACTGCGACCTAGACTTGACTTTGAATTTGTGAGGTGTTAAGATAGCCTGGTTTACTGTAAAATAATTCAAGAAATGGAATTTGTCTCTAGACCTGAGTGGTGTCTGACCTTTGGGTGATCTGACGTCTGTGTTGCAAGTTCATAAATACTTTGTCTTGGGGAGACAGGGCACGTGTTGTGGGCTGATTGTCCAGTGCCTTCGTAATAGAATGTGCTGCTTTGCAGGTTTGCACGGTCATTGCTTCGGCCGCCCTCACGGCATGCTGGATCAGGCAGTTCAGCTACGGCCGCATTTAGCAGCTGAGTGAGCCT